TTTCTGTCTGTCTGTGTCTGTCTGTCTGTGTCTGTCTGTCTGTGTCTGTCTGTCTGTCTCTGTCTGTCTGTCTCTGTCTGTCTCTGTCTCTGTCTCTGTCTCTGTCTGTCTGTCTCTCTGTCTGTCTGTCTGTCTCTCAGTCTGTCTGTCTCTCTGTCTCGGTCCGTTCGTCCGTCCGTCCGTCCATCCGTCCGTCCGTTCGTCCGTCCGTCTGTCTGTCTGTCTCTCTCTCTCGCTCGCTCGCTCAGCTCACACTCTCTCACTCTCTGTGAAGACAAGTCTTTTTCACACAGACGCACACCAAGGCCCCACACCCCTGAACCCTAACACCCCAAACCCTAAACCCTAAACCTTGAGCCCTAAGCCTTAAATCCAAACCCTAAACCCTAAACCCTAAAACCCCGAACCAGGTAGCCAGCGGGCTCTTCCGAGGTGGAGGTGTGCACCTATTGGGCGTGCAACTGCTCTTGGTCCTGTCCGTCGTTGGGTGGTCCCTGGTGACAGTGATACTGGGCTGGTTATGGTTTAGGAAGTTTAGGGTTGCAGGGTTCAGGGCTTTATGGATTCGGGCTTATTCGCAGAGTGTAAGAACCTTATGGGAAAGCTTAAGAACAGAGCTGCTTTCAGTTTGAAGGCAATCGCTTTTCTCGGATTTGGAGCCGGTTGCTTCCAGGTCAGATTCCCAAGATTTCTGGGTTTTCCCCCAATTTGCCCAGAAATGATTGGCACTAGTGTCCCGTTATCGTCCCCTACTATTGTTGTGATATAGTCTTATGTTGCATACTGCAACAGCAACATCCTGTTCTGCCTGTTAAGGCCCCCACGTAAAACATCCGATGTCAACTCGGGAATATCAGAAAATGCGGGGCCCTAGACAAAATTCTCCGAAATGAAACTGGTGGGATCCGTAATGCCTGACCCTGAAAAGGTTCACTAGCTTCTGACAGCCCCCATAAAGCGCTCGAGACCCTTGACAGAATCTTGTACGACGCAAAGGAAACCCTGTAAACCTTGATAAATCCCTATAGAACCTTTATGAAGCCCTATAAAGCTTCGCGGAACACTGTGAAAACCTAGTACAAACCTGGGACCCCCTCACAAAACCCCATTGCGAACCTAGGATGCCCTTCTTCTATGTGGTTGGCTGTATCTTCAGCAGGGACTGGCGCAACCCTCGAAGAGGTCTAGGGCCGAGGGTAGGGTTCCTTTAGGGGGTCTATAAGGGCTGCTATCAGGGTACCATAGGGTTTTCGGGTTAAGGGTTTCGGATGGGTGTAGGGTTCAGGACTCTGGGTTTAGGGTTCACGGTTTGGAAATTGGGCTTGGGGGTTGGGGTCTAGCCTGTGGGATTCAGGGTTCAGGTTTTAGAATTAAGGCGGGTTTAGGGTTGAGTAGAGGTTTGCGCGTCCACCCCGCCGACGAGCTCACTGGCTTGGACAGCGTGTACCACGGGTGCCCAGCCAAGAAAAAGAAGAAGAAGGCAGCTGCATCAACCTTAAATTAAACCGGAAACGCCCTAACCCTAAGCCGCTAAATCCCAAGCCTCTAAACCCTAAACACAGTCCTAAAGCATCCCAAAATTTGCCTTAAAGCAGGCAGATGCGTCGCCTGGAGGGCAGGAGGCAACTGCCGCGGAGGCAATCGAGGACGGAACCAAATTGGATCATATATTCACCGCGTGATCGGGTAGGACTTTATGGCTCGGAAGGCTTCGTAATAATACCGCCTTCAAGTCGTCACACAGTCTTTTGTTATACGACAAACTTTACTTAAGTGATCGTGTCCCCTATGCCCCCTATGTTACGCATAGTACTCTTGTTCCTGTTAAGGTATATGTGTACCCTACCTAGACCCTTAAATCCCTTAAATGTAATGCCTCGTATTGGAGGACGTATGTTAAGGTTAAGATCCTACAGGCTAAGAAACCGCCTTAACCAGAAAAAAAGTATTACATGTAGGTCTAGGTACACTAAGCCCTAAACCCCTAAATCCCTAAACCCGAAACCCTAAACCCTAAACCCTAGACCCTAAACCCCTAAATCCCAAACCCGACACATCCTTCTAGGGTTCCGATTTTGGTCCCAAGGAGGAGGAAGAGAGCGACCTAGAGATTCCTGCGTTATGTGCAGAGCTTTGAGAGTCTCTTGAAAGACACCAAATCTTTTAGTTTAGGGTTTAGGGTTTAGGGTTTAGGGTTTAGGGTTTAGGGTCTCGGGTTAAGAAATTAAAGCCGTTTTCCCGTCATGCCAAAGGCGTGGCAGTTTGAGGCTTCTCTTGGCGTCCATCGCATGTGAAAGCAGCAGCCGTCGTAGCCGGCAGGAAAATCCGAACCGTTGCGAATGCTGTCTGCCTAGGGCCGCCAGTCTGCCCTTGTATAGGGCTACGAATAAAGAGTCACAAAATCCCCTTCGTCCCTTGTCCTTATACTAGAACTGACTAGACGACACCCCAAACAGCCCTATTCTAGTTATGTAAGTCCCTGTTCTGTCCGTCTTTCAACCGTTCTGTGTTGGAGAGGATCTGTTTTCTTTCGCGGAGCGAGTCTCGTCATGCTCTTTCCCTCAAAGGTTGTCCGTCACGACAATTTCCATACCGTTGCTCCCGGGTCCGACCTGTGTGCATCTGGTAGACCACGTAGAAAACGCATGTGGGTAGTTCTCTAAATTAGGGTCCCTTTTAAGTCCCCAAAATAGTACGGCACCCTTATAACAAAGGACCCTAAAAGGGACCCTAATTTAGAGATCTACCCATGTGTTTTCATGTTCTTTTCGTTTTCGCAAGTCACAGGCAGCGCTAGGAAAGTGGCCGGAGTCTCCGCCGCTTGCCACGTAGGCCGGAGAAGCGCGACCAGCGACGATTACTGCTCTTGCTCCTACTCTTGCAACAACAACAACTACTACCACCACCACTACTACCGCTACTACCACTCTACTACAACTTCTACTACGACTACGACCACGACCACGACTACTACTACTACTACTACTACTACTACGACGACGACGGCGACAACAACAACAACAACAACAACTACTACTACTACTACTACTACGACTACGACTACGACTACGACTACTACTACTACTACTACTACTACTACTACTACTACTTATTCCCTTGGTGATGGGAGGTTCTCGATGTCTCACTTTGGGATTCGTGTATAGGGTTTGGGGGCCCTCCCAGCTTTTCGCAGACGCAGAGAATAGCAGACCATCAACGTCGAGGCTCAAGGCAGTCCATGTGCGGAACCAGCGTAGCGACAGTTTTGCAATCCCAAGACTATTATGTGTTTTGGGTGGATGACTGGTTGATGTAAACTCGTACTAATTATTCTGCAAGTTTACTATTGGGTTAATGTGTGTGTAGATTTTCGGCATTCGGCTCAGACGGTCGAACCTCAGCGATCCCCCTAGCATATTAGCAGCCCCCACTAGCCTAATTCCTTGATCCTCGTAAGGTTAGGCTGCCTCTTTTTACACCTTCACAGGCCGCTAAGTGGCCCTACGGTCGGTGCTGCATTTGCTCTGCATATGTCGCACTCGGAAGTCCTTGGCGAAGTGAATGCCGCTCATGCTGACGATGCGACCTGGGTGCTGACGAGCAGCTTCGTGATCCTAACCATGCAGAGTGGTTTTGCGATGTTGGAGATGGGCTCCTCAGGCAAAGGCCACGAAGTGAACATCCTTGTCAAGAATGTCTACGACGTGGTTTGTGGTGCTCTGGCGTACTACTTGTTGGGATATGGCATCTCTTATGGATCACCATCGAACTCGTTTATGGGATTGGGTGATTATCTAATGGACGTTTCGGCAACGGACCCCATCAGCTCGGGGCTTGTGTTCAGCAACTTCATTTTTCAGTTCAGTTTTGCTGCCACCTCCACAACCATTGTCAGCGGCTGCCTGGCCATGCGCTGTCGTTTTACTTTATACTGCTTGTACTCCTTCTATGCTGTGCTTGTGTATTCCTTCGTAGCCCACTGGGTTTGGTCAGCCAATGGCTGGCTGGCACAGTTGGGAGTGCATGACTTCGCCGGCAGTGGCCCCGTGCATCTGGTGGGTGCGGTGAATGGGTTGATAGGGATTTTGGTCTTGGGGCCACGCCACGGCCGTTTTGATGGCACCCGGCCGCCGGAAGATTTCAGACCTTCATCTCCTAGCAGTCTCTTGATCGGCCTCTTCATGCTCTGGTGGGGCTGGATCGGCTTCAACTGTGGCAGCTCCTTCGGAATTACGCAGTTCAAGTGGATTGTCGCCACCCGGGCGGGTGTAACGACCATCAATGCAACTGCTGGCGGCGGAACCGCTGCCTTACTGTACACCAAAGCCAAGTCGAGGGGCAGGCACCTGATGTCGGTCCTGGGGTTGCTGTCTCGTTGGCATGTGTAGGATACATTTGTGTTTTGGCAGGCTCATCGTCGCGGATGAGGTTGCTAACGGTATATTGGGGTCCTTGGTGGCAATCACTGCCACCTGCGCCTGCGTGCACCCTCCAGAGGCACCCTTAATTGGTGCTGCGGGTGGCATTCTCGCTTTGCTGACGAACGATTGGACCCTTGGCCATGTGTAGTAGCTGGTTTGCGTCTGCGCGGTAAGTCAGTAAGTTGTGGTGCGTACAGAAGTTCCACTCACGCTGCGAAGTGTTCTTTCCCATATTACGACCCCCAAACATCCCTAAACCCTAAACCCTAAACCTTAAACCCTAAACCCTAAACCCTAAACCCTAAACTCCCCACCTGTAGTTTCCTCTAACCCAAGCACTTGAAACTGCAGCCCGAGCCCCAGAGCCTTTTCCGGCGATGTGACTGTGTGCAGCCGTTGTACATGCAACCCGAAGTGAAGGGAGTTTAGGGTTTAGGGTTTAGGGTTTAGAATTGGGGTTTAGGGTTTAGGGTTTAGGGTTTAGGGTGAGTGCCTTGGGACTTTAGCTGCAACGTACCGAATTATAACAACATGATGCGCCATAATAGCGCAATGGAACGCAACATTGGAGCGGTACAGTTCGGCACCATGACTGAAAACCAGATGAGGGATACTCACCGAAAGCTCCCACCTGTGTAGACCGTGCACGTAAAAAACTGAGAGCTTCTTGGTTGAGGCAACAGCTTACGCCTGACGCTTTTTTCTCCTATTCCGGGCGACCAGCAACTAGATTGTGTTACTTAGTGAGTGTCAGGATCCACGACGGACCGAGCTTATGGGTCATTTGACTCGATGCCCCACATAGGCACAAGTGTCTCTTTGCGTTGAGGCGCATAGAAGATTGTTGTTAGCAAGAGAGATCCGTACACATGCCGCTGCAACCTTGGTCTGCACTTGAAAACGCAGAACAGCCGACAGCCCATGGAGCTTTGGAGAACCATGCGTAATCCATATCATATGGTTCATTTGGCGTAGGATACAACAGCTTGATTGCATGCAGGCACCTTTTGTACGTCCTAAAAGAGCATGTAAAGCCCTATCAAACCCGT